ATCAGATGATAAAGAGGAAGATGAAGTTGTTGAAAGTGGTAATAGAAAGGGCTACAAACAATCAAAAAAAATATCCAAATTGCCACCACCACCTTCAAATTTTGAACTATTGGTTTATTCAAAAAATTTGTACCAGGCTTTTGTTAAATTGCCACCAATTTATGAAGTCAGTTTTTCAAAACTGATCAACCTTTTTTTTCTTTTTATTACAAACATTTTACTAGACAAAATTGTCTTCAATATGAATTCATATGTATTGATTAAAGGCACTAGCCTTGCTGAAGGACAATGGACAAACATAGACTGCAAAGAGCTTATTATCTAGATTGCTCTGGTCATTTATCAGGGGATTTTTGGGCTGTCTTCACTGGAATAAGAACCTAAAGCTCCTCATTCACTATATTTCTAAACAAATACCACTAAAATGTTTTGAACAAATCAAGAGGTATCTTTATATCTCTTCACCTGTAGTAACTATTAATCATTACTTTAAAAAATTAGAGCCACTGCTTTTCCATATCCAAGACGTCTCAAAACAACTTTATACACCAGCCTCAGTTGTCTCAGTTGATGAGATGATAATAAGGTTTGCTGGAAAAGCATTCATACTATTTAGATTAAGAACAAACCAATCTCAGAGAGATTTAAGGTATTGTCACTTTGTGAATTTGGATATATATTCACTTTTTTGTCAATGTCACATGTCTCTCTAAGTGATGTGGAAAAAGTAAGCAGGCTTAATCAAATTGGTTGCCTGGTTCATTATCTTGTTATACAACTTTCGTATTATCAATATTTGTTTGTCATTTACATAGATAATTACTTTTCTAACATTTCTCTTTTCAGAACCTTCAGCAAGTTAGCATTGGTGCTTGTAGTACTGTTTGAAAAACAGCATTTGGGTTTTAAAGGGACTGAAGATAGATAAGAATCTTCAACTTGACTGGGACGTATGTTTCAGTGTTGTGATAAATAGAGTATTGGCTGTGTTTTGGCAGTACAATAGTCTGGTTACAATGTTGTCAACGATTCATGGTCATGTAGGTAAACAATAGGAGATAGAACACGAAAGATGGCGGCCAAGAGAAACAAGCACCAATGCAATAAAAGTGTATGCGGTGTTTGGCTTTCAACCAAAAAAAACTAAGGATTCTCAAAATAATTAACGACTACAACCACCACATGAATGGTATAAATATTACAAATTAACTATGGTCATATTATTGTACACAGCAAATAGTATAGAGAAACTGAATACTGCTTTTCTTTTGGTTGTTGAATATTGCTATCATCAATGCATATCATATCACCTGGACCCTTGAATATACTTAGGAGCAAAAGAACTTTCACCTTGAACTGGTGTAATACCTAATAAATGTTGCAAATGATGTAGAGGAAATTCAGCTTAGAAGTGGGACAAAAAAAAAAGAAAGGAAGCAGATAAAAAAATAAAACAAAAAACCAAATGCCCGAAAATAATGAAGTATTTCAAACTTTCAAACCAACAGTTTGTAGGTGGTGACTATTTAGTTGAATAGAAAAAGGGATGAGAATTATGTCTATAGTATGCATGGCTTGCAAGTAAAAAATATCTGGATCTTGACCATAAGACTCTACACTGAAGCAATTTTTGGTATATCACCTGTAAAATACTGCTTTGTTGTAATAATGTTCGAAATTATTTTTTAAAATACTATAAAAATAACAAAGAGCAATAAAAATTCTGCAGGAATGGAAAATATTTCTGCAATGAATAATTTTGCAGATTGTTATAGTGATAGAATAGGAATTTAGAAGGATTAACATAAGATATTCATTAATTATCAAAAATTTTTTGAGATTATGATGTTAGAGAAATGTCTCATATTGATTATTGTTTTCAAAATGGGATTGAATTATATTTTTTAAATGCTTAATTTCATAATTAAAAGCATCTTATTAATTTTTACTGGCTAAATTTTTAATTTGTATTTAATAATTTTACTTATTATATTGTAGTTAATTTGGTTAACTTAACTAACTCGATCAAATAAAATTTTATTATGAATAAGTTCCCATATTTCATACGATGTTATTTTGCCCATATCTGTAATATTTATAGCTAAATTCTTAGGGTGATCTGGAGGTTTTGATCTAACAAAATATTCTTTAACAAAAATGCAATATTTTTGGATAATTTAGATTTGCAGTCTTCGCTTGTATCACATGGCATGCGCAATGATGTAATAGTTATATTGTCACATGCTTTATGTTCCTGGAAGTTACTCTAGTCGATTTTGGTTAGTCGTTTAATAAAAAATTTTTTTTTATATTTATTTTTCTTCTAATTATTTTAGTAGACAAATATGTCTGCTAACTACTAACAGTTTAAGAGATATTGATTTCATATATTATTATATATTAGCTTATATTTTAGATTAGAAATAATAACCAATAAAATCATATAAATATCTTTAAAAAATATATAATATCATATAAATATTGGTATAAATAAATAATATATTAGCTATAATTTAATTCATAAATAAAAATTTATTATTTGGTATATTATTTTCTAATAATATATATAATCATAAATATGGGGGTGAGTCAGTAGAAAAGGAACAAATCATTTTTAGTAAAATTTTTTTAATTTTTAAATTAAAATATTTTACAATTTTTTAATCAAATTTGCTAAAAATTTTTTTATTTTAATCTTAAAATTATATATAATTAAAATAAAAAAAATTTATTAAATTTAATAAGATACTTGGTAAAATATTTAAGCTTAAAGTCAAGAAACTTTTACTTAGAAAAATTTGTCTCTTTTCTACGGACTCACTCTTATATATTGGTTTATATCACAGTCATATATTTATTGATTATATTAAATATTATTATATTGGCTTTATTTTTAGTTTATTTTTTAATATTTAATTTCTAATCAAGTTATCTTTCTATGATATAAGGCTGATCTTTATATGATTTAATTAGCTAGTAAACAATCTTTTAGCTGATTATATATTATTTGTTTTTGTATATATCAGCTATTAATCACCTTATTATATTAAAAATTTTTGATTTGTATTATATATATTATAACAATATTTGTCTATAAAAATAGAAAACTAAATTAATTATTAAAATATCAGCTTAAATTAAATTTAATAAAATAAATTTATACTGATATAATAATGATATAATATATTTAACAAAAATATTATATTGATACTATATATTATTGTATATTATCCTATATTTTAGATTAGAAATAATAATTAATAAAATCATATAAAATATTTTCAAAATATTTATAATATCATATATATATCATTAAAAATAAATAATATATCAGCATAATTTGATTCATGAATAAAAATTTAATACTCAGTATATTATCTTCTAATAATATATATAATCATAAGCTTATTAGTTTGTATCATAGTCGTATATTTATTAATTATATTAAACTTATTATATCAGCTTTATTTTTGGTTTATTTTTTAATATTTAATTTATCATCAAGCTATCTTTCTATGGTATAAAGCTGATATTTGTATGATTTATTTAGCTAATAAACAATTTTTTAGCTAATTGTATAATATTTGTTTTTTTATATATCATCTATTAATCACCTTATCATATTAAAAAATTTCAACTGTGTATATACTATACTCTTAACAAAAAACTTACAATATCTTTGTATTCTATTATACAAACCTTACTTAGCACTCTAAGTAAATATATTCCTGTAACAAAAATATATTTTATACTAAAACTTCAAGATAATATCTTTAAAACTCACTTAAAAACAAACCAACTTTAGTCTTGAAACTAAAATATATACAATACTCAAATTTCAAACTGGTATTTTCTAGACCCATCAAGAAAACCAACAAAATATTCCATATTACCAAAATTTATTTTTAAATATTCTCAACAAAAACTATACTATAACTTAAAAACTAGGGTCCAGAATAAGCCAGGTTAGACAGGTTTGACTAGGGCCTATACTCAAGCTCAGAAAATATTTTTGAGCCCAAGCCTGGCTCAGAAAAAAAAGCCTAAGGTAGTAGACCAGGCTGGGTTTATTTTTCAATTAAGTCCAACCTAAGCCTGGCCCAAACACAAACCTAAATTCAGTACCTTATAGAATAGGTTCTAATTACAGCTGTTCTTATAAATTCTGGAAAACCTGACAAAAGTTAACAGACTGAATATTTGCCAATTCAATAAGCTTTGATAAACTTTTGATTTGGATATAATTATATTCGAATCAAAAGTTTATCACTGCTAAATCAATGCTTATCGAATCAGCAAATATTCAGTTAGCTACTTTTGCTAAATTTTTTAGAATTTATGAGAATAGCTGTGAACTAGAATAAGTATATTTATACTGATCATGCTGAAATCAATAATTTATCGAATCACAAATAATCATTTAGTTAGATGTTCTAAAATTAGTGAAAACTATATGTAATTTAGTAAAATTAGAAACCAAATACTCAGATTTGGTAACTGAATTTTAGCTTACTGCTATTATTATAATTCTTAAAGCATCTGATAAAAATTAGCTAAATGATGTTTCATCTAATCTGGTTAAGTTATTATTTCAGTATAATGATAATAGTGATAGATTATAAAATTATACGTAACTTTTATATTAAATAGTAGAATAGCATATAATTATTGCACCAGAATTATAAAAATTTTGCAAGTATTACTAGACTTTATAAGCAGCTCTACAAAAGTTTGGCCAATATTATTCATATATTTATATAACAAAAATTAACTTCAAAAACTTATACAAACTTATACAAAATTATAATAATTTTCTATAAAACATACTTTTCAATTTTATTTGATAGTACAAGATTTTTATGAATGTTCTTAAAATCACTCTTTAATATATTTGGGTTCTATTCTCCTTTTTTTTTTATTTTTTGGAAGTTTCTAAAGCTATGTATTTTTAATATCTATTTTGTTTATTTATATTGGCTTGCTTTTTTGAGAATCGATGTCTATGTATTGCTTAACCACCTAGATGCAAAATCTAGAATTCTAGGAATAAATTTATATATAACAGTTAATATAAGATCTGTATCGAACAGTTCACTACCAAGTGGTTTTTGTTCAATTAGCATCTCTGACATAATAACACCAAGTTGTATATGTTCTTCATTTGTGTAAATACTTCTTGCAAAACCTTAAGAGTAATATAAATTAAGACTTGACTTTATACAATCTCTGTAAATTATACATTCAGAGTGAATTAATCTTTTTAGTATATTATATTAATTACACTATGCATATTTTCTGTTATAATAACTTTCTTAACCTGTAAATTCTATATCTGTTAAGTTCTGTAAACTGAATATTTGTACTTAATAGTGTACATGATTGTACTTATCTATATTTATATTCAACCTCTTATTCAGGCCACTACAAATTTAATACTACCCTTCTCATATCAGCAGATTTGTTGATCACCCCAAAATTTTTTATGCATCTAAATTTGACTATATGTAAATCATTGCACAATGCAGAATGCGTCAGATTATTAATATCTAATCATATACACTGCATTGTTGCACTAATCAATGATCTAAGACATTTTTCCAATTATTTATTCAAATTTGCCACACACTTTTTTTATTAAACTTCTTACTATATACTATATACTTTGAAAGTTAGCTATATATATTTTAAACTAAATCTAAACCAAACACTTATTATCAAAAATTTATAGACATAGGTTATATATGCTATAGAATTATATATTGTTATCAAGTAACAAGAGACTTATAAAAAGCTAATGAATGGTTTTAAAAGTAAGTTATTTTATATTGCTATACATTTTCTTTTTAATAAATATATTTAATAAATTATTAAGGAACAAAAATTTATTAGCAATAAGTAGGCAAATAAAAGGAGTATTAGTTGAAAGCAATTGTAGAGAGAAGTGGATTTATAATAGTATACTATGCTACACAGATAGATAAAAGTCAAAGCACTAAAGGGCTTTTGCATTTGAGTTGCTGGCTGTTGCATTTTGCAAGAACATTACATTGATTTCTCTGAAACTTACAAAGTTGGAATAAAAAATGTTGGCTAATGTGCTTTGCAAGAACACCATATTAAATTTTCTGGATCTTAGTTAGAATAACAAACTTGAATTAGAGGGATGAAAAGCAAATATTAGCAAATTTGTAGATCACTACAGAAGTTTTGACACATCTAAATTTGAAAGTCAGATCAGTATTTTAGAGTATTTTATTGCTCTTGGATGCTTTTAATTTTTTTTTTTTATAAGTTGTGTTTTGAACTGAGAATTAACCTTGAGGTTGAGTTTCAGCATTGTGTAAGTTTTGTTTTTTTTGTTATTTGTACCAGGTTTTCTAATGTTAATAATAATTTTAATTTTTTTTTCTGCTTTTGTAGTATCATAGATCTTTAGACGAAGGGTGTTTAGTATTTTAATTAGTTTCTTGATTAGATTTCTGTAATATTTTTGAAAAGGTTTTATTAATTAAGTTTTGTTAGAAATTTGCATTTCATAGAGATAAGTTTAACTATTGGAAGTATATCAAATTCTGAAAAGTTATCAGTCAAATTTGCATCACGTCTAGTATGAGTCGCAATCTAGATAACTTTGTATAACAATGCTTGTCTATCCATCTTTAGCCTATCAATTTTGAAAATTCGAATCTTTACTAGACTATCTTGTTTTAAATTTAACATATAGATGTTTTGCAGTTTTATATTAACAAATAATAGTATTTAAAGCCTTTAATAGAACAAATTTGAGTTTTATGATTATGTTTATCTGATCAATTCTTTACTAACTTCAACTTTAACCAATTTAAAATATTAAGAACCTAATATTTAAGGTTCAGGTTTTCATGTTTACTTGATGAGTTTTGTAAACAGCTAGACAATAATCATCATATTTTATTATTTATACACTGTAATGTTCAATAATTTTTTTAAAGGTCTGAAGTAAAAAAAATGAACCAATAAAGTATTCGAAGTTCATATTAACAAAAACTTTTTTTTAAAAAAAAAGTTAAAATACTGTATTATAATTTGATATATATTACATTTTAATCAGTATAAATTTTAAACTCAAGTATGTAAATTTTTAATGAAAGCAACGTCTAACATGCATTGTTTAACAAATCTCTAAAAACACAGATAAATATTAAAAAAATACAGTAGTTGCATGAATGTTTGCATATATTACTTTTAAATAAAAATAAATAATTTAAAAATTGACTGACCAAATCTTAGAATATATGAACATATATATACTATTTAAATTTAAAACTTGTCCTGTTAGATTTTACAAATATATAAACATACACACTAACAGATCAGCTCACATTATAGATCAGATTTGATTAGATTTGGGCTGACATTATCGTTATAGGTTAACTAAGATTCGAACTGGTTTAGAATTAATTATTTTATTTAAATCTTGTACTACATTTTTTATGAAAATGTAAATTGTGTAACATGATGATCAACATGTGAATTAATAATCGACACGTGAATTAGATTATTTAGTTGACAGCCAATCAAATTCGATTTTTGTCTCATAGTGTTTATCTTATAGTGTTTATCTACCAACTGCAAATTATATAAGAGATAGTTTATATTTTTAGGCATCACTATTATTAATCAATCATAGCATATAAGGGTTTACCAGATATTATTAGGCATATTCAAAAAACCTAGGCCTGGCTCAGTATTTAGCAAGCCTAACTCAAGTCTAACTATAAATATATTGGGCCTAAAAATAGGTATTCAAACCAAGCCCAAACCTGGCCTGGTCTATAAGTTTCTAGGTTTGGCCTGGTCTATTCCAGACCCTATTAAAAACAACTAAGATAATCTCTCTTAGTGTTCTAAGCAAACTTATTCCTTATTTCAAATTATATATATTCTAAAAACTTCAAGCTAAATATTTCAAAACTTACTATCCTAGTTAGAAAAAATTTATATTGCTCACCTATTAGATTTTATCTACTTATTTTATAACATGTCTCAATCTAATATATCTCAATGCTAATTTCCTTATTATCAGCTTACTACTCACCAGTCTTCTAGTAGTAACTTCTCTAATACAAATCTGGATCAACCTCTTGATTGATTTAAACACTTCCCAGTTTCAACAACAAATAGCCTTTTTCTATTTACTCAAGCAACAATTTAAACAATAAATTTCTTAAAGCCTTTTCTTAAAGATTTCTATTCGAGTTCAATTATTTAACCAGAAACAGAGAATAAATCAGCTCTCAAGAATAATTTTGACCTTCAAATTCATATAATAGCTCTCCAAAAACTTAAATTTATTATAGATTTTATTCGAAACTATAATCCTCAGGTTACTAAACCTATAGATATTCTAACTGAAATTATTCTTGAAATTTTTAAAAGATCACTTTTAGCAATTATTACTGTTCTTTTTGAATACTCCAACTATTCAAAATTATTTAACTCTTATCTTTTTATTTCTTCTTATTATATCAAAAAACAATTTTAAATTATTATTAACTTGATCAGACTTTATTTTTTTCTTACTAATCAATACCAAACTATCAATTATCAAAAATTTTTTCAAGATTTAAAACTTAAACCAATTTATTCACAAACTTTCTTTTATATTAACTAAATTCAAGACAGATTTAAATACATCTATATTACAAATTCACAATACTCCTAAATTTCATATTAATATCTCTATAAACATACCTGTACAAAAATTTTTAACAACTTACTACATTCTTTCTTTTCTTTATTTTCAACAGAATTTAATAAGTAGTTTCAAAATTTTTCAAACATTACAAAATACAATTTAATACTATTACAAACAAAAAATCTACAACTATATCAAATTCCAAATAGTAACAATAAACAATGAATACAGAAAACTCATCTTTAAAAAAATCTATCCTTCTATCATTTTATCTATTCAAAATCGTACAGATACTGCTATCAAAATAGTATTATTATTATTATTTTTTTTTTGGTGTTAAGGTGGCCTCTTGGCCAGCTCCTTTTATTCGGTTATAGTTAACTTTTTACAATATGCGTTTATAGCATCTCG